TTTGAGACAGACTATTGATAAGTTGCCCAGGCTAGTCTTGAATTTGCAATCTTCCTTCCTTAGCCTCCCAGATATAGTCATGCACCCAATTTCTGGCTACAAATTGATAATTTTTTTAGAAATATATAAAGACAGGGGTGTGTGTGTGTATATGTGTATGTGTGTGTGTGTGTGTTACTAAATGGGATTGTTCTATTAGTTAATTGTTGAGTTAATTTTTTTTCACTTGGCATTGTATCTGTGTGTTTTAATTACTTTGCCATTAAATATTCTTTGAAAATACAGTTCTTCCATTGCTACCTTAAAGTGTATGGATTTACCATAGTATTTTTTAAAATATTTTTTTAAGTTGTAGATGGACACAATATCTTTATTTATTTTCATGTAGTGCTGAGGTTAGAACCCAGTGCCTTACGCATGTGAGGCAAGTGATCTCCCACTGAGCTACAGCCCCAGTCCCGCCATGGTAATTTTTTGTTATTGAACATTTAAGTTGTTTGCACACTCTTTGTAGTTTGTACACTGATATTTTTAATATTAGAGTATATTTTTGCAAGTGGAATGTTTCCTTTAGTCTTGCTGAAAACTGTCTAAAAATGATCATAACAGTTTACACTCTAACTAGCAGTGTATAATAATTTCTTTTTTTCAGTTCGGATTCTGAAATAATAGGTTATGCTTTGGACACATTATATAATATAATATCTAATGATGAAGAAGAAGAAGTAGGTAAGTTCCCACTTATTTTACTGTGTTTTTATGCAAAAGTTAATTGGATTGTACCAATTTTGCAGATTTTAAATTGGTATTTATTTTACAAGTTTATTTATTTTTCTTCTTATTATTATTTAATCACAAAATAAGTAAGCTCAGCCCTTGCAAATGTCTTTAGGATGATTGTTTTGTGTGTGATTTGGGAAATTATGAGGAAATGGAATAAAATCTTTGCTTGAGTGATATTTCTCTCCTCTTTGTATTTGGCTTTAGGTAGTGTGCAGATTAGCCAATTTTGAGTTAAAAACCACATTT